TGATTGTCCCTGCAATGACACGCGACTTGGGTTTCTTTTCGACATGCCGCGACTCTCCAGTGAGCATTGACTCGTTCACTTCAGACGACCCAGATACAACAGTCCCGTCGGTCGGGATTCTCATATCGGGAAGGACCTTGAACCTGTCTCCGTATTGCAGTAGCCTGACGTCGACTTCACGAGCATCTATTGAGGGTGATTCGTCCACAAGAAGGGCAGTTTGGGCCTGAAGTGATCGAATAGATATTGACTCGACCGCTTTTTGTCGTGCAAGTGTAGCGACATATCGTCCGAACATGATCAATGTAACTAGAAGTGTGCTTGTTTCAAAGAATTGGCCAGTGGAAAGAGGTTTACCAGCAACGAGAAAGCCGAAAGAAACCACAGAGAAAATGTATGCCACGCTGGTGCTCAACACAATAAGAAGGTCCATCTCAATGACTCGCGAAAATACAAGGGCCTTCAAAGCTTTGGGGTAAAAAGGTCCTGCTATGACAACCTGAATGATAGTAGCCAAAGCCAGCGAGGCGGAGCTATAGGCGATTTTTCTCTCGGGGATGGGGGCCCATGCCATGACTAAAACTGGGATCGTGAGAACTGCAGATAAGAGAGTCATGAACCCGGAATGGCGGACATGCTTGCTACCAGCTGCAAGTGTTGGATCACCACAGATGGGCGCAAGACTTGCTATATCACCCCAGTGCTTTTCAATGAGATCTCGTGCTCCAACCACTTCTGGATCAAAAGAAACACGAATAGTGCAATTCCCGACGAGCGAAATGTCACTCACACCTTGCGGCCAAGCCTGGTTGACGATCAAACCTGGATCCCCAGAAACAATTATATCCATAGCTGACCCATTACTGGCGATTATCTCACATTTGAACTCTGTGGTCCGCTCCAAGTGCTTCATAACAAGCTCCACAGTAGAGATACTGAGGTCCAAGTCGAATTCAGCTCGAGATAGAACCAAACTTGTCCTCAAGTTCCCAACCCCTGACATTGTCGCGAGGGTTCTGTTGAGTTTCGTCTCACAGCCAGTGCAAGTCATACCAGATATCAAGAGGACCACATGCTCGATGCCTATGGCCTGACCCTCGAGATCAGGGGCAATTCTAACAGCCCCACCCTTCTCGTCGTTGGGTAAGGGTGGCTTTTCGGAGGTACAGCAAATATCAGCACAAGAGCCATCCGCTGACTTTATCTCTGATTTGTCTGATTCGGAGATACAGGGATCGGTGAAGTTGTCGCCGCAGGTGGTAATTTGGGGTTTGCAGCAAGAGTTGGCGGAGCAACCTTGGCTGGCACGAGTTTTAGTTACACGTGCAGTCTTGTACTTTCCGCCATGGTCGGTACTTCGAAGCGGCGATTGACTTGAAGGTGTACTACTTGCGCAGCAAGATTCAACCGAGACGCACGAGACAGACTGTTTCAATGGCCGTTCAGAGCACCGACCCTTACCCAGCGAAGAGCGCTTTCGAGGCTCGCAGCATGATTCCTTGCCAAGGGCAAGAAGAGCACGGCAGATACACCCCAGTGCTGTAAGCCCAGCAGCATACTGCTCTCTAACTGAGCGATGATGTCGATTGCAAGCTCTGCCCTGAAGCGTTGCACCTTCTGTCGATGTGGATGTCGAGGAAAGAGCTGCATTAGACCCAAAATTAGTAGAGTAATAGGACATAAGCCATTTTTCAACATACAGTAACCAGCTGCTTCCATGCATGGTATATTTGACCCCGTATGACACTCACGTAAAGCCAGACGATCAAGGCAGGCCTCATCACAGCAGGGCGAAGGCTTGCCTTGGCAGCACTCTGCCACAATAGGTTCAACGGAAGTAGCATGTTCACTCGACCATGGGGTACCGGAGCCGGTGTGTGTGAGAGGGTGGCCCGAAGAAACACTACAGCTTAACATTTCAGCTTTGGCGGTACAATCTCCTGCGCAACAAGCTACGTTAGCGGCAAAAGCATCAAGACGATGGATGTTCTTACCAACAGCCGAGGCAGACTGGTCGCCGCAGCAGCCTTCCTCGCAAGCCCCAGACAGAGCTGTACCCTTACAAGGATCAATAGGGTCCTTGCATACGGGGTCAGCAGGTTGGGCAGAGGAAGTTGCATTGGCATTATTGTCATCTGTTTTGTCGTTGTTTCGGATAGCGCCGTTCCCACAAGACTTCTCTTGACTTGACGTCTCCGATGAACTGCCACAACAATTCGAGGAAGTATCTGGTTTCTTCAACTCAGCTTTATCAATCGCATCCGCTTGAGAGGGCGTCCTTTCACAGCAAGAGCGTCCCATAATGCTGGTTGGATAGTTCACGTGGAGTCGTGGAGGATTGTGGGGATCTGGGACCCGAGGGAGTGGAGTCACCTTTTGGCTTGTTTGGCTTGTTTGGCTTGTTTGCAGGGAACTACTATTCGTAGTACGCTTAATTAAACCTAGAGAGCCTTTCACTAACTACTTACACGCCAGTTACCGTATTTGAGTAGTAAACCAATTCATTATTCTAGCAAATGTCGAGCAGAGCGCTTTGTTGTATACTATATGCTTTCTCTATGTGAAACCGAGGTGAAACAAGATAACTAGATGTTGGATGGCAATGTGATTCCCGGGGCCCCGCAATTTAGATACTCCTAGTCTCCTACAGTACCAGCATGCTCGTGAAGAATACTTCAAATACAGCCATTGTCCGCTAATACGGATGTGTACGAATGCTTGGCAGTTTAACCTTACAAGGTCCTCCGTGCTTCCAAGGTTGCATTTTTACCAGTGGAGCCCAAAGGTCCGGTACTTATGTATGTTGTGCATATCCCGAAGTCCGTTTTAGGCAATGAATATCCAAGTCAAGGGTCCACTTAGGACGCGAGCCTACATTCTATTGGTTCCTGGGAATTGCATTAAACTCAAAGCACGTGGAAATGAAGTTTCGGCCGAACCGGCTATGTCTCGGAACCGACAACCGGCCCCGGTAGTGCAGGCCCTAAGTCGTTCCCTCCTTTTAAAACTCAGCCCATTACCGTTGCAACTTGCAAGTTGGCCTTTGATTCCCCGCAATACGCCCTGCAGCATTCCATAACATCAGTACTTACCCTTTTGGACAGAGCGAAACACGAAGCTGCCGAGCCGACCGAGCCGAACTATATACTTCGCCTTGAACAGGCAGCACCACAGTTTCTGGGGATTGGATGCTCGATAATTATACCAAATAATCCAATGTGCCTACCAGGCCTATTGATTATTGGAAAGGCAGCACGTCCACTGGAACAGGTGTTGAGGCAGCCTTTCTTCCTCTTCTCTCCCTCTCAGTGAACAGCTCAATTCATTCCATGTTTCTTTCTCATTCCTATTTACTACAATACGACGGCATTCTTCAACTCCGCATGGTTTCCATTACGTGATGCACGTGTGCGTATGGGGTATACTGTGTGCAAAGAAACAAGAAGTAAATGAGATTCACGAAATGGAAAAACTGACTATGACAGAGACCACCCACAGCCATGAAGGTAGGGAAAAACAGGACAAAAGAGCAGTCGGAAGGATACAGGCTGGGCAACAACAAACCAAACACTTGACTCGTGGCTGGCAGTTGACAACTGTGGTGATCATTCAATGATGCCCCGAACTGGAACCCGGCTTCAGACAGTATATTTTCTGCACATCCGCCAACTCAACCTCGAAATCGATCTCGAGGTTTTTCAGCAGACCGTCGGCCAGATCAAAAACCCAACCATGAACGATGGGATACTGGTTCTCTTGGTAGCTTTGTTGGACAGCCGCGGTTTTGATGATATTCCTACAGGATTCGATCACATTGAGTTCAATCAATCGATTGTATCGGTCGTGCTCGTCGGGTATTTCGTCAAGTTCTTGCTCGTGCAAGCGATAAACATCGCGGATGTTTCGCAGCCATGGGTTAAGCAATCCCAGATCAGCAGGTGTCAAGGCCGCCTGAACACCTCCACAGTTGTAGTGGCCGCACACGATGATATGCTTGACTTTGAGGTGCCGCACGGCATAGTTGATCACCGACATGACGTTGAGGTCAACATTGGGCACTAGGTTGGCGATGTTACGGTGAACGAAGACCTCGCCCGCCTCCAGACCCATGATTTCGTTGGCGGGGACACGGCTATCGCTACAGCCTATGTACCTGATTGCCGTTAGACGAAAAAGACAAAGTTGGAGCCTATCTTGCTTACAGATAGTCTGGTGATTGCCCAGCAGCAAGCTTGTCGAAAAAGGTCGCATCTGTCTCTTTTTTCGACGCGACCCATTTCTTGTTGTTTTGGAAGATATGGTCGAGCGACTGTTGGAGATAGTGATTGCCGTTTGGTTCGGAGGCCATCTTGTCGGAGTGTACAAAAACTTGGCAAATATGAATGTGGTTTGAGGTTTTGGTGGTCTCACGCAGAGCAGGAAGCAGATCCGAATCTGTTGGGACCTGTCGAGGGGTTTGTGCTTATATAAGCACGTGTCAAGACCTCGGGACCATCCGCAACCTTTTCCAAGGACCCGGTCCTTTGCCTTCGGGTATTGAGTTATCACGGTCTAACGGAAACTCTTAGTGTCAATTTTACACCGACTATTTCGACTACAGTTTCACTATCTCAAGAGTAGCCAGCCACTTATGCGGTCTGTCATGTCTTTTGGGTAATGTTTCTGGATGTCTTGTTTTGGATATCCCTCATCGGTTTTATAGCTAGACGGCAGAAAAAGGCGGAAGAAAGTGTAGAATGTACAGGGAATGAGAATATAATTTTGCAGACGAAGCCTAACAGATCTCAAATACGTGCAGTATCTGAAAGTGATGTCTGCGCAACTAACAGCATACTCAGCTTGCATCGATTTCGTCGACCCTGATACCTGGAATGGTCGCATCTCCACTTGCACTCCCGCTAGCTCGTGGGTATTCAGTTTCGGGGGTATCCTTCGTCAAGGACGTTATAAACCAATGACGCCATGACTCTGATTCTGCCATTCACATTCTACGGTCAGCATCATACCGCCGCCCGCACTGAACCGTCGCGTTTCCAAGGTCGCACACCTCGGCCCGTGTCGGAGCGGCACGCAAGAAGTTGGCACTCGGGTGAGATAGCCAGGGGAAATAGATCGGCGCCGGCCCGCGCGGATTCGAGCTCGTAGAGCAAGCCGGATTTCGGGTGCCAGGTGCACGATAAGCCGGCCCCACACTGACGCCGTCCGACGAGATCTGCAGAAGCTGACCGGGTAGCGGCTGGTGGACGACAAACGAAAGCTCTTGAGCAGCTTACCTGCTCGCGGCCCATGTGCTGACCAGGCGGCTCATGTTGTCGCTCGCGAGGCTGGGGATGCATGCTCTTGCCGTCCCATGGTGACTGTCCATCTCCGCTTGGAGCAGGGACACTTGGGTTGGGTCACCGAGGTGCAAGCCGGCAAAATGGTTCCGTCGGGAGACCATGCAAGCAGTCCTAGATCTAGATGGTGGAATGAGTAGCGCTGGCGCTTCACTTTGTGCAGGTTCACGATGTTGACGACACTTTCTCTTTTCCTCCCCGGGATGGCTGCTACTCCGCTCAGACAATGACTCTCAGTTTGACTTCCAACTAGGGTTCGATCACGGTTCGGACTACAAGATTTTCGTATTCTTTAAATTTTGGTGTTTGGGAAATTATCATGTGCTGCACTTCTCTATCCACATATGATAATGCGACGGTAATACCGCTAGTCGAAATGTATCGATATATAGTAGCATTGTCTGACCATCAAATCGGACACTCCGCGAGTGGAAAAGATGAGTTAAGAAGTACCTGCCAGTGTATATTCTTGTCCCTACTTTATTTCTGTCCATCTCCTGAATTGAGACCCGAGAAAGCTGTGGAGGGAAAGTTTCCATGACGTTTGGAAATCGGTGAGTATGGAAGTTCATCCTAGAAGAATAGGACAGCGGTGCAGAGAGACCAGGAGAAATATAAGAAAATCAAAGGAATATACTAGCTTGGATTATGCTACAGTATATTCAAAGTGCGATCTACAACTTTCGCAATGCTCCGTTTTTCGCCGCAATCCAAGCCGCAACCGCGTGCTTGGACGTGCTCGCCCTGACCTTAGCAGTGGATTCTGATGAGTCTGACCCTGAGAAGAGTGAGGTGAGAACCAGGTCTCGGTGTCGCGACGCAATGAATTGTATAGGATTTCAAATAAGACCGGGAAAAGCTTACTCTATAAGAACTGCGACTTGAGATATTTGGTGATATCAGGCCTACGCCGCCAAAGAAACAAAGAAACTCCTAAGACTATACAATGCTGATCTTGTATGGAGAAACAATATGTGTTGATTCCTGTGTAATGAGATGGACCAAGACAGAAGTGAACAGAGAGAACTGTCTCATAGTTGGCATCTAACATAAAATAATAAAAGTAAGGAAAACAAAGAAATGAGAGGGCACATGCAAAATGATGAAGGCAAAGGTATCAACGAGCAAGGTAGGAAAAGAGAAAATGAAATAAAAACGAGGCACGGTGAACGAAGACATCACCAGAATTTAAACAACTGGTCCTTGTGCTGTGGGGGATAGATACGGGCCGCTGCAGCTGCCACCGATGCCAGGTACCAAAAACACTGTTTGGTGGAAATGTCAATGGCGTCGCTATCGATGGCTGGTGAATACTGGATCGTCCACACATTGTTCACCATCACCTGGCGAAGCATGATAGTTTCTTCGTACGTAGAGTGGAATGCATACGGCATTCCTTGATCCACCATATATTCGACCACTTGGCCGATAGTACGGCGGAACAAATTCTCGTCGAAGAATCGAAATTCCATTGCGTGCTCCGGGACCCAGGGAACCTTCAGTTCCCCCACGGCTTTGAGGGGAAGTGGAGGATTCTGCGATACCAAGGCAACATCAGGTACCTTGGTATATCCAGTTCCAGCCGACTTAAAGTCAGCAAAGCGAATGTTCACACCCTGTGCCCGGAAGACGGAGCCAAGAACCTGGCCCACAGATTGGTCGAACCGTCCCTGAACGCCTGTTTCATCGGCAACATAGACTTCCTCTGCTCTCAGGTCCCGGTCTCGAAGCTGATAGTCGACCACGGCCGATGACCATTTTATCAACATGCTAGCCCGGACACTGGCCTCGAATGTTTGCCATGGAGATAGCGGACCAGTATACATAACCTTATGCAATGCAGAGGATTTGGTCGTGTTGGGGGCAATCAGAAGGCTCGGAAGAGCGCTCTCAACTGCGTTGCGCGAACGGATTTCAGGCATTATCTGAACAGAGCTTTTTGTCAGTATACCAATTAAGCTTCACGTGCAAGTCTCTTGGGTAATACTTACTGAGAAATTAGAAAATTCAAAACACAAACACAAAAGGCAGTCTAGAATGCAAAAAAGCCAAGAAAGGACTTTGTTGTTGGGATGCGCAAATTACTGGGTTAGGAAGCAATAAGAGAGAGAGAGAGAGAGAGAAAGAGAGAGTGAGAATGTCTGGATAGATGATGATAATGATCCAGCTACTCCTATGAAGCTCTCTAAATAGCTCTCTATTTAGAGAGCTTCATCGAGACAAACGGCCGGGAAGCCACAAGGTCTAAGACAAGTGTGACAAGCTGCAGCACGAATGGCTGAGAAAGCCCCAGTGTATGCCTGAATGCATCAAAATCAAACCTCCAGACATTGAACGAATTATAGAAAAAGACCTGGATTATCTCGAATGAGGTGCTATTCCCATTAGGTATGTTACCTATTGTTACATCTTCCTACAATAAGACCTGGATAAGATACAGACCAAGTTTGAGCACTAGACTAGGCAGAAGTGAGAGTTTGTTAGCACACCTGCGGTAGGATGGGCCTAGCAGCTGCATGCAAACAAACCTAGAAGAGTCAAAGTAATGATGCAGACTGCCTTTTTGTATTGATATACCCACACTTCTAAAATGCCTGATTCTTGCTACATTGCTTAGGCATTTGATCAAAATGAACCGAATAGTACCTTCCAGAGGGGACAAATTTGATACCTATCCGGCGTGCCGTCTGTCGATGCTGTCTGCCGCTTGCCGTATACCTGTTACTTCCCGAAGCTGAAGTCGTAAAAACCTCTCATGTTGGATGAACTACCAATTCTCTATTCAATATAATAAAAATCAAGTCCATTGAGACTATATAAATAAGTAAACTAATAAGGCAGATATCGAGATTGAGAGGGCTATCAATGAACCCAATTTCAAGAATCATGCGATGTATGGATTTGTATGGCAAAAATAGCTCCATATTCATGGGGCCAGATGCTATCCAAGGCAGATACCCGCGGGCCTCTGTAATTGCAATTCAGGTATCTTGATTTTTCTGTCATACCAAATTAAGGCATAAGGCACCATTGTATTGTCGGAACGAGAAATACACCGGTTATCGCCTAGTGATAACGTGCCCTGTTTTTCTCCGACATGTATGCATCAAGTCCGAAAGTACTCCGTTAACCCTGGCCCCTATGCCCCTGCGTATAATATTGAATTGTATAAAGTACAGAAATCTACTGCAGGAAAAATGAGTCAGAGACTGCCGTACTTTGTGGCACCTTAGCTTTCAGACTTTTTGCTCACTCCTTTTCTCCTAGAAACTTACATCTTAGACACTTACACAGCTACGTGCATTACTCTTGTCGAGCATAGCTGGAGGATCTTTTGATGGGATGACGGTAAGTGTTAGACCATCCATATTGCTTGGTCAGTTATTAATCAGATGTTCTTAATAGTTTGGTGCCTGGTTAACTTTAAATTGTCCTCACAAATTTGTCGTCATTTCCACCGTCACCTTGATCTGGCCTTCTTCCGTCTACAATTTCTTCCCCATCATGCACTCACGATGCCCGAAAGAGAGCCTCGTCTAGTTCTTCTCGACATGATTGATGACAAGATCACTACCTACTGCCCGGATCCCGATGACCCTGTGTTATCTTCGTTTTACAAAACGCGCGAATGGGTCATCATGGAGAAGCTGGGTGAGGAACCATGCCCAATTACCCCAAAGGATTCCGCCCAAGGCATGGGCCCCGCATTTACTGTTGGAAAATATCGTTGTTACCGTCTCGAGAACGGATATGAGCACGGATATGAGGCCATTATGCATATCTACAAACAAATCCCTCTGGATGGCACTGAACTTCACAGCTTGGAGGATCGGAAGAAACAGGCTACTACTAGGTCTCACGTGGAACTAAATGCCTTGAAGAACTTTACAGAGAACAGGTGCCCTTTTACCCCTAAACTTCTTGGATACCAAATCAACCAGCAAGGTAGAGACGACCTTGTCCCCCAAGGATATATCATATACCTTGTATTCGAAGAGGGTCCGGGAAGTCCTCTGCAATTAGAGCAATTTTGGAACTTGCGTCGCAATGATCGTGGGCTTATCCGTGAGAAGTTCAGAGTCGCCTATATGTTTGTTATACAGTACAATGATGATCACGTCCTTCGAGCTAACTAGAATTAGGGAAATTCTAGGGCTTGGGTTCAAGCCTTTAGCACCAGACTTATCAAAGATCATACTCCATGGAACCGGAAAACAAGCTAAAATGTATGTTCTACTATACCCCTAACACTCCTGAATCTTAAGCTAATAACACATAGCAAAATCACTGGTTTTGACGTGGCTATGGAGATCGACCAAGAGCCTAAATGGACAGACTACAACCTCTTGATATATCGTCTGGCCCTGCCACCCTCGAGGAAGGAGAAGTACGTTCCCACAGGGAAGGATATCGAGACTGATCGTTACGGCTGGAGATGGTGAGAAGGAGAATTGATGCCAAAGAAGGAACCATGGGGCAATCTCTGTCGCTCGGTCTCATGTGTTTGACCAACTAACTTACAAAGGATACTACCAAGATCTATCACAAACGATTCTCTCTATTCACTTTAAGTACTAGGAAAGTCTCACCCCCGTAGAATCGCTCACTACAATTTCTCAACTCTTCAGTCTACCTCCACGTCTCTGTAGAGCTGTCTCCATAGAAGTTCCGCTAACAGGCCTTGAAATAAAGGGGAGTCGTTGGTTGGAAATGTGTTCTGTTTCGGCACCCCTTCCACAATTTTCTCCTAGACCACAATCTTTCTGCAGATATATTGCCAATATGCTATCCTCACCGATTCACCCCTGCATTTCTAAGCTGAGCCTCTAATCTGAGAATTGGACAGACACAAGCTGACCATATACTCTTTTCAATGTATCGGACATCACAGCCTGTCTGCCCAGTTTCTAAGTACGAAGATGTCATTCACGTCACCACCGCCTGACTGATGAAAAGGATAAGGCTGACGTCGAGAGCCTCATATCTTGGCATCTTGGCATCTTCAAAGTGGAAGTTTGACAATAGAACCATTTCAATAATTTTTGACGATTGCGCACTGTACTACTTCACCCGTGACTAGGGTTGGGGGGAGGGGACAGGTGAGAAGCTCTGGACGTTTGAAAATTGCGAATCTGGAGCTATAATGGTTTCAACGGAGCAACTACAAACATGGGAAAGATCCTCGAGTGCTCCTACAGCTGTCACTGGGTCCGTGAGATGGTCAGCGTTACATTCCTATACCAATTCGTCATTTCTCCTCACCATCCCGTGCTGTCGCAGCCCACTCTCCTGCATAAGCTTCATCTTAACCGGAGAAGGAGTCGATGGTCCAATCCAACGCTATAACGCAATTGAAGCAGCAAATTTGCCCTTCACCGAAGTTTCTGTTGGTTCTCTGTATTTATTGTTGATTTTCTCCATTGGCAAACGTCGGTCCACCAGCTGCTTTTGATTCCCAATGAGTATGTAGACTGTACTGGTTCATCAAAGACTATGCAAAACTGACATCCTGGACAACACCAGGTAATAGTGAGACCATCCTTACAGACACCTCGGTGGTCGCAGCCCGCGGAGTGAGCGAGGTGAAGTCGCTGCATTTGGACGAAGGGTTAGGGGGGGACTCTCAGGCATCGCAGGAATCCCAGGAACCCTATGATGATGTGTTCACCCCTCCAACCGATGAAGAAAATCAAACATTGCGCAAAGTGGCCGCCAATCTCCCGTTGGTTGCTTTTTCCCTCTGCCTGGTCGAATTTGCCGAGCGCGCGTCCTACTATGGGGCACAGACACTCTTCTCCAACTTTGTGGAATTCCCACTGCCCGAAGGTGAGCCTCATTTTCAAATATTCAGTGTCGAGAGTGTCATTCCTAAACAAGTATAATACACAGGTGGCAATGGAGCCGGTGCTCCTCCGCGCGGAACCCAAAAGACAGCCGGAGCTCTGGGATGGGGATTACAGGCCAGCACCGGCTTCGTGCTTCTATTCAAATTTTTGGCCTATATTGTCCCCATCTTCGGTGGTTACTGGGCAGATACTTACGTCGGGCGGTATAAGGCGATCATCATTGGTGTTTTTATCTGCGGCGTTGCCCATATCATCCAGATCGTCGGCGCAATTCCCTCTGTTCTCCAGAAAGGCAAATCCAACGCAGCTCCACCGTTCGTCATTGGCCTCTTACTTCTTGCCATCGGTGCCGGTATTTTCAAGCCGAATATCTCTCCTACTGTTCTGGATCAGCATAAATCCCAGACGCCATACGTCAAGACTCTGAAGTCGGGTGAGAACGTTATTGTCGACCCCGAAACCACCAATACTCGGACCATGCTGCTGTTCTACATGTTTGTTAACATTGGTGCTTTCTACATGTTAGCGACAACCTACGCGGAGAAGTATGTTGGATATTGGCTTTCCTTCCTGCTATCGGGTATCATTTACTTCTTTCTTCCAATCCTCCTCCTTGCTGTCTATAAAAGGACCAAAAAGCAACCTCCCAGTGGAAACAAAGAGCTCACCGAAGCCTTTAAAATTGGATGGACTGCTCTTGTACAAAGCAAATTCCAATTCTGGCGCAAAGACTTCTGGGATTTAGCAAAATCTGCCAACCTTCGCAGTAAGGGGATCGAAGTTAGTTGGACAGATACCTCAGTATCAAAAGTTGCGAAAACAATTGGTATCATCATCCCTCAGGCATATTGATCAACGAATTCTAACATCATTAACAGAGGCATGCGACATCTTCTGGTTTTTCCCCATCTACAATCTAAACGACGGTGGTATCGGCTCAGTCGCCACGAACCAAGGCGCATCAATGGTCACAAACGGAGCACCCAACGACCTTCTCAACAACTTCAACCCGCTAACGATTATCGTTGTCATCCCGATCCTGACTTTCGTGATCTATCCGTTCCTTGAGCGGCGCAAGCTGAAGCCTGGCCCCATAACCCGAATGACGATTGGGTTCGCTGTTGCCACTTTAGCTGGCATAGTCGGTGCACTAGTCCAATGGAAAGTGTACCAGCTCTCACCATGTGGCACTCACGCATCAACGTGTGACGACGTCGCCGATATCAGTATCTGGTGGCAAATTCCCAATACATCTCTCAGCGCCATAAGTGAATGTTTCGCCAACGTCACGGCGTACGAGGTGGCCTATGCTCGTGCCCCAAAGAGTATGAAGGGCCTGGTGATTGCTGTTTTCCTTTTCATGACTGCCCTATCTAGCGCTCTTGGTGAGATTCTTATCCCGGCGACTGCGGACCCATGGTTGATCTGGATTTGGGCTGGTCCTGCTGTCGCCCTGGCGGTTCAGACTGTTATTTTCTGGTTCCGGTTCAGGCATTTGAACTCTGAGAACTACTTCGCCGATAATGTTGATTCTGGTCTGGTTGAGGGGGAGCAAGTGTCACCCAAAAGGGAAGCTTGAGTTTCATCGTCTAACAACGCAAAGATTGGAGCGAGGCACTGCTTGTCTTGTTTCATGGATGACGAAGTGTAATAGATTTGCCACCTTTATTCACTCTCCTCTACTATTCAAATCTTTTCGGAAGAACGCTTGACTTAAGATAGACAGACCTTCTCTGTAATCATCTGACTGAAGAAGGATCTTGTGCCGGCTACTGATACGGTTACGTTCGAGTAAAACCAAGTGAAGTAATGGATTTTAGTAAAGCAGATTATATTGAGCTATCTGACCGGAACATAGAGAATTGTCGCAAATTCTAGTCCACCGTTGTGAAGCCAAGCCAAGCGCCTGTGATAATTTCCAATCCGTCTTTCAACCAATCCGTTTCCAACGTTGTTGCAAAGTCGAACCCATGGTCGACATCTAGGCCATGAAGCTTAACAATTGCATCGGGCGCTTTTTCTCGCACTAAATCAAAGAATCGCTGGGAGCCCTCAAATGGCACAGCTGAATCCTGCTTTCCATGGAAAATGAAAGTTGGAGGAAGTTTCAGACCTCCGGCAGCAGCGAGATTTTCAATCCTCTTCATTGGGAAGAGATAGTCTTCTGACCCGAGAAACTCTAGCAATCGACCATTTTGAAAAACCGAGAATGCCAGCTGAAGACGATCTGGGGGATCTGCAGCAGTGACCACAGTGGGAGAGGGTGCAGTTCGCATGGCTGAAATGTGTCTTTCAATAATTTCATTCGGCATGTTGGGCACTCCAAGGATAGTTTTAGGATATGCCTCTGTGTAGAACCTTGATTTCAAATCGAGAACTGGATAGGCTGCGATGACAGCACGAAGTTCCGATGGGTAGCTGAGTGCCAGTTGAATGGCCAGATAGCCGCCTTACACTCAAGTCAGATCATTTGTTCATGCAAGAGTTCACTACAAAAGACTCACCCGCGCTTTCCCCCACAACGATGAGCTTGTCGAGATCAGGGACAATATGACCATATCCAGCATCTTTGATTGTTGCAGCAAATTGTGGGCTGTGTATCCAATGCCAAAAATCGTGCAAGTCTTCCAATATATCCTTTCCAGATACTTCAGGCAGCAAACGGTAGACTGGGGCCACGATGATTGCCCCTGCTGATATGGCGTAGTCCAAAGTCCAATTCGCAAACCAAACAGGATAGCGACTAGAACCGGTGACCTACAGGCGAGTCAATTCACAGTCGAAGGATTGCGTAGTCTTCTCAACGCAAAAGTAGCTCATACCAAAAATCCGCCATGAATCCGTATCATGACTGCACATTTCGAAAGTTCTTGTTGTGATAGTATAGTCCGAGGGATGAGAATATCTACATTGATATGAGAACGACCCTGGTTGAAGCTCTTGTAACTCGTGTTGATCACTTGAAATGGCTCATATTTATCAGCGGTGTCAAAAGTCGAAAGAATTTCCACCAAATGGAGATAAGGATCGGTTGCCATATTGATGCTCGATGTGGGAGGAGATGGAGCAAGGAGGAGGTGGGGTTGTTCGTTCGTTTATATACCTTGCGCCTTCGCATGACCTAAAGGGGCATGGGGTGAAAGCGAAGGGCCGAGTACGTACCTCAAGACCCGCAAAGTTCGGCTATAAGTCATGGAGAGGCTGTGGCTACGGACTTGACTTGGTAAATGTATGCATAGCCATACGATAGATGGCAGTATAGAATACTGGCATTGTTGGAATCTTGCGCTTTGTCATTGAAGTCTAGTTAGCGACTGCACGAACTATGCAAACAAACCAGGAGATGTAATTGTTTCACAGCTGAATGGAGATGTGACATGATGAAGATGTACGTGGTGCAAATAAAGCAAACATAGTAAACAAGCAAATAAGCAAACAGAGCAAACAAAGCAACCAGAGCAAACAGCTGATCGGCATATCGGCGATCGGCGCGTTCCCCCGCTGTAAAGTGATTGCGTAACTACAGGAAAAAAGAAAGAACCTCCAACAATTTGGCTATTTCGGCCCATTTATCTGTCCAAGCTGCACTGTAACTT